TAAAACCACTGCACTGAATATATAGTGTATATATACATATATAATTTCCATGATATATATTATTTTTATATATACATCTAGTACATATATTATTTATTTTACTATATATGGTGATATACATATACAAAGTATATATACTATACCTTTAAATAGTTTCAGAAAATAAATAATTACAGAAAATAAACACTTTTCATTAAGATTCAGTCCAAAAATACAAAAACTGCATCAAAGTTTCTCTTTCAAATTTAATCCTAAAGACTACTAATTTTCCACCTTGGACTGAAGGTGGCTCCTGGCTAATAGTCTGTACCAAACAAGACTCAGGCTGCCGTCGAGGGCGGAGTTCAGAGCTGACAGAGTGCCGGATGAGAGGAGGCGGACTCTGTGTTTCCATTGATGATGCTCAAATGCAGTCAAACTGTATGAACCAGATTATCATCAGTATCTTGTTGCTGCTGTTTAGTCAACCAGACGCAAATTCAAAAGATTACCTGAAAATTATTTCCTATATGTTTATCACTAACTGTATGTGTATATTACCCCACGAGGACACTGCGCTCTCTGAGTGCATAGCTACTTGTGGTCTCTGTAAATAATGTTATAAGGAGTTCGGTCTAGACCTGCTGAATTTGAAAAGTGTCATGAGATAACTTCTGTTATGAATTGGTGCTATACAAATAAAACTGAACTGATTAAGTGCATATCAATTACTTTATCAATAATTGTCAGTGTGGTCAGCTCTGGGCGTCGCCATCTTGGCAGTCTTGACTCCGCCGGCTTCTGGCTGATCCATATATGGTCAAAGAGGTGGAGCTGAATGAAGCATGGTTACTGAAAACTGTAACAGCACCCACCTGTTACTGACCGACCACACCCTTAATTCTGCATAAGTTTAATCCTTAATATCATGAAAAGAGTTGTTGAATTCAGAGACCAAAAGGCTGTAAACATGTTTATTTCTTCAGTTTAATATGGAGACTGACTCATTGGAGTCACTGGAGCCTCTAGTGGACATTAGAGGAAGTGCAGGTTGTTTGTGTATTTTGTCCAGGATGAAGTAATTTTGAGAACTAATTAAGTATATTATTAATATTATATATTATTAAAAGACTGCTTGAAGAACAAATGTTGTGTTCAGTTTTTCTCAGAATATTTGACTGTTATTACAACTTTAAATGGTGGATCGATCGGAACGTCACACTACGGAGGCCCTGAGTGAGTTTTAGCTCATGTCCCTTCGGGGCCTCTATACAGCATCAACACAAACTGTATAATTTCATCCAAACACACAAATAAACTGCCAATTTGCACCTAAAATGTTGAATTTTATTGTTTATCATCTGTTTAATATTTCACCAAAACCTTTACCTTTCAGTCATTTTCCTCCAGCTTCAACATAAAAACAGTGAAAATCAACTTACAGCCATTAATCAACACTGTGGAAACATTTTGGCAAAAATCTGTTTTGTTTTAAATTATGTGCTTAAAGTTAAAAGGTTTTAAGGTTTTACAGCAATAACTTAACGTTTTACAGTGTTATTTGTTTCCAAGGCAACACAGAGCGGGAAGTTTTCAGCCAACTAAAATCCTCAGAGTTCACCAGGAATTCAAGAACGGACTCAAATGAAACAGTTGGCAGCAAACTTCCCTCTCTGGAGTAAATGCAGATTGTGAGAGAGGTTCTGAAACATCCAGCTGTTAATTTGAAAGTCTCTAATCATACAGGAAGTCCCAAACTGGAAAAATCAAAAAAAAAATTTCCAGATGAAAACGATGAATTCAACAAATGAACACACGTTTGGATTATTTTGACTCTTGTGAGAAAATCTTCATAATTGGGGAAAAAAATTGATTATAATTGATTAAATTTTATATTTTCATTGTTGAAAGTTTCAGACTCTAAAAGGAGAAAATAAATTTATTCTGTCGACTGAAAATGTTTCAGAACCAAACTCAAATGAAAACTTCCAAAAGAGCAGAATCAGCTCAGACGCTACAAATATCATCATCATCATCATCATCATGTCACCATGGTAACTGTCATTGTTAAGGTAGGGGGCGGGACATGCAGGGGAATAGGTAGAGGGGGCGGAGCTAAGCGCTACACATCATTTTAGTGGTATAAAAACATAAAAACTTCATTTTTAAAGTTTCCTCTTGTCCAATAAAGGAGCTTGACTGACAGCTGAGGGGAGCCAATGAGGAGGGAGGAAAGAGGTGAAGGGGCGGGGCTAGCACTTAAATACAGACTCACTTCCTGTACAGTTCACAAACACTTTCCATATTTACACTTCCTGCTTCCTGTTAACTGTCCCAACAGTGGCGGCCATTTTGTGTCCAGACCCATTGTCCATGTCTTTTCAACACTGCGCCGCTCACAATGGTACCGCGCCCGGCGGCGGCGCACGCGCCGCGCCGCGCGCAGGAGCCCACGTTGAGCCCGCGCGCGACCCCGGCACCCCACCACCCGCCGCGCCACCCCCCCCGCCGCCTCCGCGCCGGCCCGCGCGCACCCACCCACCCTCCTCAGCCCGTCCCGGCTCCCGTTTCATCTGGGACCTCCGTGGGATCCCGGACGGTGCAACGTCCGTGTTCGGGGCTTTGTGGATGGATGCGATGGCCGGTTCGCCGCCGCCCGCTCGCGGGCGCGCCCCCCGCGCGTGGCGCGTGACATACGCTCGCGGCGGCGCCTGCGGGTCGTCCTTGTCCCCCGGACGGCCGCGCGGTGTACTTGCGCGTGGACTCCGCGCGGCGCCAGCCCGCGCGCGCCGACTCGCACCGCGTGCCGACCGCCTGCGCGCTGCTGCGTCGCGCGTGCGTCCTCGCTGCTGCGCCGCGTGCTTGGACAATTCACCGCGCGCGCCGGGCGGCGGCGTCGGCACGGGCGTGCGCCCGACGCGCGGTGGCGCTTGCTCATCGCAGCCGGCTCGCCCGCAAGCTCCCTGCCAGCTTGCAGCCGCGGCTATCGACGGGGAGGAGGATGAGGAGGATGAGGGGATCTTTGAGGGGGCGGGGCTGTCGATGATGGGTGGGGCGTTGGCAGCGGTGGGAGAGCGGGCTGAAGAGGAAGAGGAGGAGCGTGGGTTGTTGACAGGACAGTCCTCCAGACGAACCCACACGTCTTCCGATTTGTCGGTGAAGCTCCGCCCGGCAGATGAGTCACCGCCGCCGCCGCTCTTTGCCTTCCTCCATGTTCCCTTGGACCTCATGGCGCTCTCCTCCTCGCTCCGCCCCTTCTCACTAGACTCTGATGATGCCGACAAAACCGATGACGAGCTTCCTGTCCTCTTCCACGTCCCCACACGTGGTAACGATGTTGAGTGTTTACCACCGCTCCCTCCTCCCCCGCTGCTGTTTTCCCGCTTCCAGGTGCCGGTGCGGCTAAACCGCGATGATGTAACTTCCTGTGGGCGTGACGGGCTCTCAGAGTGGGAGCGGTTGACATCATGTCTCCTAGTTGTTGATGGTAGTGGTGTATCAGGGCTGGACGGAGACTCTAATGCTGCCGCCGCCGCCGCCGACTCCTCCAGCTTCCTCTTCAGCGTCGGGCTCGGAGCTTCTTTAATGAAGGTCGACTGACGGACGAGTGTTGGCTTCTCTGGCTCCGCCCTCTGCTTCTTGGCCGCCGTGGAGCTGCTGACCCTCGATGCTGACTCACTCCTTGGGATGCCACCGCTGCTGCTCCTAGCTGCCGTGCTCTGTTTGACCGGTCTGGAGGCCGATGATGATGATGATGATGCACTTCCTGGAGACGCTGTGCGCGGCAGCTGCGACAGCTTCCCTCCTTTCTGATTGGTTGCAGAGGACGAGCGAGATGGCGTGGAGTCCCGAGAGGACCCACCTCCTCTGTCAGCACTATCGCTGCTTCCTGGAGCTTTGGCCACAGCTGCTGCTCTGGGTTTGCTCCGCCCCCTGGCTGCGGGCTCCGCCCTTGGTTTACCTGTAATCAGACTCCTATACACCTTCTTCCCACCTCTCAACGCCTTCGCTGCCTCTTCCTCCTCTTCTTCCTGCTCCTTCTTCTTCTTGGCCTCCAGCGTGGTGCGCTCTCCGCCCTTCAGGATCCTCGCCCCACGCTTCGCTGCTGCCTCCTCCTTCTCCTCAGCCTCTTCTTCTTCTGCGTTGTTATTAGCTGCTGGCAGGCGGAACGGCGAGCCCACAGACTTCAGGGACAAGACTGAGTCAGAGTCTGATGATGGCTGGCGGGACAGTGAGGTGGCGGCGGCGGCAGCGGCATTCAGACTGCTAACAATGGAGTTTGCACCTTCCTGGATCGCCTTCCAATCGAAGGATTCAGAGTCAGGGGAGGTGGGACTTCTTGGTGCCTCTGAAGGCTCCTCCTCAGCCAGAATGCCGTCGTTGGTTTTGGGAACAGGAAGTGGCGTTGCAACAGCAGCAGGGACGGTGACAGTGGTGGCTTTCTTCTTCTTCTTGGGCATGGCAGAGCTGATGCACTCCTGCAGCAGGTCGTCCTCCGAGTCGATGCTCAGCGAGCTGAGTGACGAGTTCCTGGAGAAGCAGACGGGCGTGTCCTCGACGTGGAACGCTTTGGGGGCGTAGCCACTGACCGCAGGTGGGCGGGGCTTTGACTCTGACTGTGGAGGAGGAGGTGACTTTTTTCCTGCTTTGACTCCATCTTGCTGCTCCGGCAGCGGCGGTGGTGGTGGAGCGAACTCCTTGTTGTTGTTTTCCTGGTCGATGTCACTCAGAGAGCTCAGGGACGAGTTCCTGGAGAAGCAGACGGGCGTGTCCTCGATGGCAAACTTCTGCTTCTCGTCTGCTGCCGGTGGGTTGGTCGCAGGTTTCGTTCGAGGAAAAACCGCTGCCGTCTGCTGCTTCCTCTTCCTTCCTTCTTCTTCTTTTGTTTTCTTATCCTCTTCGTCCTTCTCGCCACCCTCGTCTTCGTCGAAGTCGAGCGAGCTCAGCGAGTCATTGCGTGAGAAGCAGCATGGCGTACCTTCGATGGGCGTGTAATGGCGTGGTGAGTCAAAGGCAAACCCTGGTTTTGCTTTGGCAGCTGTTGCCGTGGCGACGCTGTACGCCGCCCGCTGGGGCATCGGCTTCACCGGCGACGTTGGCTTCTTCTTCTGCTGCTGCTGCTGCTGCTGTGGGCCCAGAGGAGGCGGAGCTGGAGGAGGAAGAGGCGGGGGGAGGGGTGGAGTTTGGAGTTGCTCGCTGTTAGCTGCAGCTCTGATTGGTTTTCTGGGTTTGGCTTTGGGCATGGCGGCGTTGATACACTCAGCAAGGATGTCCTCGCCATTCTCGCCCTCAGGAAGTCCAGCCTGCCTCCTTTGAGCAGAGGTGGGAGGGACTACAGGTATGACGGCTGCTGCTGTCTCCTCATTGGGTGGGGAGTCGATGGTGAGGTCACTGAGCGAGGTAGCGGTGGAGAAGTTGAGCGGCGTCCCCTCCACACAGTAAACTCTCGGTACCTCTTCTGATGGTGGCAGAGGTACATCCTTCCTCGGCTGGGACTGTGCACGGCTTTGAGGTGGGAGGAGCTTGTAAACCGGAAGTTGGCTGGGTTTCCGTGGCGCAGCTTGCTGTGGTTTCTTTGGTTTCCGTGACGACTTGGGCATGGCCATGTTGATGCAGGCCTCCAGGATCTCAATGTCATCATCATCGTCTGATTCATCGAGGATTGGTTTTGCCGCCTCCTCCTCCCTCTCCTTGTTTCCTCTGTCCTCCTCCTCCTTCTTTTTCGTCATCTCAGCTGCGATGTATGGCTCATCCAGACTGAGTGCGCT